AAGTTGGGCTTTCCCATTGTTGGCTGTCTGCTGACATCCCTTCTTCTCCACTTATGTCGTCCTCTTCTTGTTGTTGTTGTTGTTGTTGGTGGTGGTGGTGGCGGCGGCGGCGGCAGCGGCGGCGGCCGGCGGTGGTGGTGGTGGTGGGTGTGCCGTCACTGTTGCTGCCGTCACGATGTCCGTCACGACTGCTGCCATCACCACTCTTGCCGTCACCACTGTTGCCGTCACCACTGTTGCCATCGTCGGCGGCGTCGGCGTCGGGGTCGTCGTCGTCATCGTCGTCAATATTTTGTTTCAGAAGCTTCTTTGGGTGTTTTGGCCACTCTAGATTTGCAGCTCTAGCACTAAAGGTTTCAGCAGATTTCAGGGAAGTCTTTTCATCACTCAGCCCCAAACTCAGCAACGTGCCTTACGCTTTTGCGGCATGGTCGTGCCGCATGGAAAACACCCTTAAAGAATAAACCTTAAAGTCATGCAGACAGGGCACCGGCGTGATCCTTGACTCCTGCAGATCTTCCAACACTCAGCAGGACATCTTACAGGGTTGGCTCGAGTCACGAGGGTCCAGCTACACATTGTTAACAAGGGCTTATGTACTGAAAGCCATTCACGGTTCTGAGACCTAAAGCTCAAATGTGTGGCATTGTTTGGCCTGTAGGGTGGCTTACACACATTACAATTTGATCGGCGCGTCAGAATATGGTATTGTCTTCGTGTTGACCGTCTCAGATGCCCCCCTGCCCCTTAATATGCAATACCTCCTGTAGTCCAGATCTGTTTCAAGCAGCATTTTCTGTAGTAGGGGTTGGTGGTGCTTGATACTGTTCTGGAGATGGACCTGAACTGACCCATGGTTTCTATATAAGGTCCCCCAAATTGGACACCAAATATATACACTCACCAATATTCCTAGGGAACCCTATATACACTCACCAAAGACCATAATAAAAAAACCCTACTTCAACTTAAACCCTTAAACTTCAAGGTCCTTCGCTCAGGATGGGAGTTGTGGCAATATTGGTTTGCCAACCATTCGAGGTTTTGATGTTGTAGATTCTTTCCCAGAGGGTCCATGTACCCCATAATTAAGTACTTGGGTTTTGGGTAATA